GATGCCCCCGAAATAAATCACAACCCGTCCCAAAAATTGTTCTAAAAATTTTTATTTTTTTTTAAATATTCCCCACTCAAAAAAAAAAAAAAAAAAAAAACTTGTAATAAAAAAAAAAGTATATAGTAAAAAAAATTATACAGAATGGTATATATATATATTATGCTTAAATAAATGTTTTTTATAATTGAATCCAATTCATCTGATGAAAGAAATCCCAAAGTTTTGATGCTTTGTTGACATCGATTCTGAGCAATTTTTGAGCATCGGATTTTTTGAATGGTAGATCCTTTTCTGTGTACCTTCTAGCCGATGAAATTAAAGTATGCTTGCCAGTAAGATATTGAATCGGTGTTAAACGTAAAACTGACACTACATGTGATTCGGTAGGGTGTAAAACATTATAGTGTGGAAGATGCTCGATCTGTAACGGATGTCCCTTCCAGGTAATCGAAGGTTGTGTGTTATCGAGCACACATGTGTCAAGTTGAAGTTGATTTATCCTAAGCATTAGCTCATCGAATGATAAAGATGGTGGAGGTGGGATTCTAACCGACTTGATTTCAGCAGCCGTTATATCAGCGTTGAACGAAGTTCTCAAAAGACCACGATCTGCCATCACTCGGGCCAAACTGTTTCCTTTTCCTTTGCGTTGAGACGATGACGATGATGTGCCAGAACGTTTGACTTTCTTTGACGATTTGATGGTTTGATGATGATAGTTGTCGCTATCCTCGTCATTTAACCTTTTATTTTTGTGAGATGTTTTTCTAATCCTGTTAACATCGCTACCGTCACCGCTGCCGCCACCAAGATACATTTGTTCTTGGTTATGATCGAAATGAGATATTTCGTTGATGCTTGGTAATCTATATCCGTTTGGCGATGAATTGAAGTTGTATTTATTTTGATTTTTGCAGTTATAGTAGTAGTTTTTGTTGTTGTTGCCACCAATTTGGGAAGAATAAGTGCCATTATTATTATTAAAGTAACTATTATTATCTTCGTTATCATTGTTGTCGTTGTCATTATCATCATTATTACCGATATCGTTAACGTTGTTAGTAGTGGTGTCATTATTATCAAGGATAAAATTAATATCCATACGAGATTTTTTTGCGTCATGATTAATACCATCAATGCTAGAGTTATTGTAAGCGTAATTACTATTATGTGAATTATCATCATAGTTATAACAATCATAACTATTACCACCACCGTTGGCAGAATACCGTAAAGATGTGGTAGAAAAGTCATTATTATTAATAAAATTATTGTTTGTATGCGTGTTTGCGGTTGTGATTTCGATTACATTTTTATTTGCATTTTTATTTTTACTTGGATTTGTGTTACAATTTATGTGGTAAATAGCACTTCCGGAACTTAAGAGGTTGGTAGTGGTTGTAGTAGTAGGCGTGATAGGAGAGATTTTATTATTGAAGGTACTATCGGCCGGTGATGTTCCGTGGCTCATATTAGTTATTATTGATTTTAAGTTTTTGTCTGTTGTTGTTGATGATGATGTTGTTGTGTAGGAACGAGAAACGGGTCCATAAATATGTTGATGATGATACGGGGGAGAAGGTTGTTGTTGATGATGATTTGGATTATTTTTGTTATCGATATTATCGTCATTATTATTATCATTACCGTTTCCTGAACGTGAATAATTATTAGAATTGATTAAATTGTTAATGATATCAGGAATTTTAAAAGAAGATTTTTTGGCACTGGTGGTGTTGGTGGTGGTAGTAGTAGTAGAAGATTTGGGGGAGAGTGGAGGGGACATTGGGGTAGTTGAAGATTTTTTATCAGATAAATTTTTTTGATTAGTGCAAGAATCCATGTTGAAAAAAAAATTAAAAAAAAATAAAAAACGTTTATATAAATTTTCTGTATTGTAAAAATATTTTGAAAAAAAAATTTTATTGTTATTATATATATATATATATATATATATTTTTTTATATACGAAGAATTATTATTATTATTAATTTTCTCTCGTTCTCTTTTAACTTTCGATGTTTCACTGTTTTTTTTTTTTTATTTTTTTTTTTAAAAATAAAATGATCTTAAAAAAAGACAATTTTTTTTTTGAAAATTGATATAGAGGAAATTTAATGTCTTATATAATTTTTTTCCCCCAAAAAAAAAAAAAAAAAGAGAGAAAGTCATTCAATATTTAAATATGTTACATACATTAATAAACATCTCTTTTTGGTTTATTTTTTACAATAATCTATATTATTATTATTTTTATTATTATTATTATTTTTTTTTTTTTATATATACATATGTAATAAATAAAATAAATTAATTCAATAAAATTAAATTTTCGCGATCTGAAATTTTTTTTTTAGAATAAAACTATACAACATAAATAAATATATATATATACACACATAGTAGATAATATAATAATAACAACATAAATAAAATATAAAATAACATACATAAATAAAGCATCGGAAAATCCCTTCAGCAGTAAAAATATAATTTTGTACAAATAAACAAATTTTCTTTGCTAGAAAAAACTAAAAATGAAACAAAAAAAATGAACGTATTTGGATCATGAACTCTTTCTAATAATACGAGATCGATAACTATTGAATGGAAATTGGGATTGATGGATGTCTTTTAAAAAACACAGATTATTATTAATAGTAATTGACATCTAAAAACAAATTCACCAGAGAAGTTAAGTTGGCAAGCGCGGAAATGAGACTTGTTATTTATATACCTAAAAATGATAATATCATAAAATATACCTTAAATGGAATTAAGGCTGAATTTATTATTATCAAAATATTATTACTTGCCATTTGCTTTGACTGCTTGCTCTTTCAAAGTTTAACATGTAAATATTTTTACAATTAACAAACTATACCATACATACACATATTATTATTACATTACCATTTTTTATATTACTTACTATTTATCAGGTTTCAACTACTATATACATTTTACCAAATAGATAGATGCGTCTGCGTGCGTGTTATGATGATGGAGTTATTTGATCCGGACAAAATTTGTATGGATTTAAGGGATTTATAGAAAATAAATACATGCATGTATGTATAGAAAGAATGGTATTTTCTTTTTCATTCCTTTGTGATTGGTTAACGTTGATAAAGTAATCAATCACAACAACGCGTGATTTCTGTAAGAGAAGTGATATCAACGGAGAGAATATTCCTTTTTTTGTGATAATAAAGAAAGCATTCTTACTTTATTAAGAGATTTTTTTTTTTTTGAATTCAAAAAATTTTCCCTTCTTCGACCACATTTTGTTGTAAAATAAAGATGGTTAGCCAAATCTATATAATTAAAAAGTTAGGAGAATAAAATACGTTGTATATATTGTTATTGCTGTCGCACTATAATTATTATAGTTATGAAGTAAAATACATATATCATACGCACATGTATGTAGTTTTTTGAAAAAGATTTAAGAAAATATTCTATTTTTCTATTTTTCCATTTCTATTCAAAAATCTATTAAGAAAATCCTGATTTTATTATTATGTAATTTATTTATTACTTAAATGTTTATTTATTAAATTAATTAGTCAGACTTATACATCTCTCTCTTTGAAGGGTATTATTTGGGAAATGAAGGAGATTTGAGTTAAGGGATGAGTCATTTTCTTGATGGTTTTTTTTAATAATTTTTTTAGCTTTTCCGTTAGCTATAATATATAGAATACGTAACGTGCTGCTTTAATCATATCGGAGATTTTTTTTTTTTTTTTTTTTACCTGCAAAATATATAAAAATTACAGTTTGTTTTGGGTACAGCAATAATATTGTGATGATTGCGAATGTGATTTATATACAATAAACAAACAAAAATAATATCGCGTGTAACAATATTATTATTATATGTTGTATATTTCAATAATAATAATCGATCGTATCGATTAATTAATTAATTTATTAATTAATTTAATTTAATTTTAATTTAATTAATTTAACGCTTAATACTAACATCCTCTCTCCCTCTTTCAAGTTTGACCGGAATTAATGGACTAATTAATTATTCTCCGCCGATAAATTAATTATTTTTGCGTAAGTTGTCAATGCCGAGTTTAATGAAGTTTGTTTTGAAAATCTTAAATCTTTGGAAACTATAATCGCACGTGTATAAAATAGTGATGCAGGGAGTTAACACATTAATAATAAATTTTGTTTCAAGTAAATTCAAAATTAAAGAAGATTAAAATCACTCAACCAATTATAATTATTATAATTAATTAATTAATTAAATTAGCATTAATTGATAAGTGGAGGAAAAATAAAGGAAAAAAGAAACCAAGCAAGAATTCTATCAGTCTGTGATCGACAAATTCACGTAGAATAACTCGTTGTTACCCGCTAAATGTTTTTTTGTGAAAGAAAATAATAATTAAAAACTGAAACAATAAATTTTAATATTAATAATTAATAAGCGAAAAAATGATTAATAATATTAATAATAATAATAAGAAACATTAAAAACATTAATTTACTTTTTAAATATATATCCAATTTATTGTTTCAATGATTTTTTTTTTTTTTCTTAATAGAACACACAATAAACGACTTGATGCATTATAGTGTGGTGTAGTAATAATAATAATAATAATAATAATAATAATAATAATAATAATAATAATAATAATAATAATAATAATAATAAAATATAAATAAATTATATATAAATTATATATAAATAAAAATAATTCACGGCAACTACAACATATCATTGTTAAATATATTAATAAAAATTTTACCGTATACAAAAAATGATTCTATTTTTTCATATTTCATTGTTCTTTTGTGTAATTTAACCTAATTTAACCTTAATTTATTATGTTTCAAAAAAAAGATCCCTTTTTAAAATTTAAAATATATATATTATGTTACACAAATCTAACGCTTAAACAAATTTAGAAGCAAAATTTACAACGTATATATACTGTGCTTATTTTACAATAAAACTAAAGTTCTATCTTTGAATGAAGGTAATTTATAGTAATAAATGGTAAAAATTTGTAGATCAAAAAAGATTTCAATTCCGAAAATATAAAAATTATAAAATATCACAACACGCACACACACCACCACACACACAAAACACATATTATATAGTTAGTCATTTGGCTTAACCAACCAATCAAAAATATCAATTTCTTATCTCAAACAAATTCAATAAAAATGTACGAACAAGAAAAATTGGGTGAATGGGTTGACGGATGGAAAAGAAGATAAGAAGGTGTGATCTGATTGTGTTTATTTTTTTTTAACTTTCAAAATTGTCGTTTTTGGCTGGTTAAAAAAGTTTTATTTATATTTCAACAATCACATTAGTAACAAACAAAATATTCGATAGTTTCTTAGGAAACCAATCTCGTTATCAGATTTACTAATCAGATTTAATTTTACAACAAATCAAAGTAAATAAAAAGTTCCCACTCTTTCCACTCGCTCTATAATATAATAAGAAAAATGAATAGGAAAAAAGAGATGGATCAACATTAATTAGTACATAGTGGAGAAACTTTACATAAAAGTAATAAAAAGGAGAAGTGTCTCAAATTTTAAATTTTTTTTTTAATTTTCCAAACAAATTTAAAAAGAAATGAATTAATTCAATGGATGGATGAATTGATTCAAATATACGTGTGTGTGTGTGTGTGTGTGAACTTTCTCTCTTATTATTCTTATTTATTATTATTATTATTATTATTTATTATTATCAATCTTGTTAATATTCTTATTTATTATTTACCAAGCAAGTTAAAAAAACCTCAAACCAGTTAATTATTTGCTGATTGCGCAAATTTAATTTAGTTTTTTTTTTGTAATCCAAACAAGGTTCCATCTATCATATGATTTATGTGTTTTTATGATAATATAATAACAATATAGTAGTAGTGTATATAATCAATATTAAATAAAAATAGAAAAATAATTTTACCCCCATATCAAATTATCTAAAAAGAGATTTTCTTTCTATTTATCCGTATGCTTTTAATTTACCTTTAATCAACAACCTCATTTTCATTTTCGTCTTCGTTTCATTTTTCGTCTTCGTTTCATTTTCGTTTTCGTTATTTATTATTATTAAAAGTTAAATTGCTTTGAAAAAAAAAATTTTTAATTCATTTTCCAATTTTTCGTTATTGTATAACGCGCGTTCATCTTTTATTATTATTGTTATTATTATTTTACTTTTTTTACCAATTCTCAAATAAGATCACATGTAAAACTCTAAAACAAATATGTACAAAACAAATTAGTTTATCTGCGTTCTTTGTTTTTGTTAATAACCGAGATTAATGGCCGAATTACTTAATTGAATTGATGGTGGTGGTAAAAAAAAAAATCTACGTATAATATTTATCTATCAATATTTTGGGATTTTTGGGGATTTAGTTAGACAGGGGTTAAATTTTAATGTGCACATGTGCAATAATTAGATCATCTAACATCATACACAAATAATAAATTTATGACCATATATGTTAATGTGAATTGAATTGCACATCGGTTGGCTGAATTTTTTTATTACGATCGAGCAGTGTTAATGTGTCAAAGAAAATAATTTTAAATGCTGAAACCAATCAATCGATCAATAGAAACCAATTATAGAAAACCTATATCAATATCAATGGTAAAAATGTTGTAATTTGTATCGCAATCAATAACTTTTCAATGAGTGAATGAATGAATGGCTTTTTGAATAGCAAAAAAAAAAAAAAAATAAATGACATTTTCATTAATAGACTTTATAATAATAACAAAGTAAATAATAATAACAATAACAATAACAATAACAACAACAACAATAATAATAATTTATAATAAGAAAAATCGAAAATAAAAATTACCAAAAAAAAAAAACTTTAAATAATTGTCGATTGGTCAATTTTTTATTCAATAATCTCTCATATTGCTTAACATTCTTTCTTGTTCATTCATTTTTTCTTCTTCATAGTTACTTATATAATTGTCCTAACTAGATATCATTAATTCATTCTTTGCCAAAACGAAAGAAGAGATAAAAAAAAACAACAACAGCAACAACCAATTATGGATTTAATTATAATAATCTTGCAATTATTCGATTAAATATTGTACCAATAATAAATTTATGTCTTTTTTTGATCAAATGATTTAAAACTCGTGTTTATCTTTGATATTGTTGTTGTTGTTGTCGTTGTTATTATTATTATTATTGTACTGTTATCACCATTAGGTAATGAATGAAGTACTACTATAAAGTTGGGTCGAGTTGGTTAGTGTAAAAAAAGTAAGTTTGTAATTTATTTTGAATTAATGCGCGATATGATTTAACAAATATAATTGGTTCCTTTTTTAGGGGAAGTGCTTACGTCAACACGTGATTTAGAAATGATTTACAGTCGTACGGTCGAATCTTGTCACAGCGTCACAGCGACACATAATAATGATAATAAATTTTTATGTTTTTATGTGAAACAAAAATTTTGAAAATCCGCTATGACAAAGAATTTAATTGTGGAGAGGTCATCTGTGACAAAGATTTGATTGTAATCTTCTATTAAAGGCCTGTTTATTTATCAATAAATGTGCTGAAATTTTGCCGAGCCTTTTAAAACGAACGAGTAAAATTCAAGTATTCACTTTTCTTTTTTTCGTTTTACAAACTTTTCACATCACACGGGCTTATATTTTTTTTTTATTTTTAATTAAAAAAATCAACAGAATCCCGGTCACCCGACATCTCAGAGTGATGACGAGCCGCCCGAACCACAAACTTTTAACAATCAAATTATTCTTTATAAGAACGTTCGTTTGTTTATAAAGAAAAAAAAAAAAAATACGAGGCATCCACCATTCTGTAAAATACAGTTCAAATGATCGTTATGATCGCGTCGCGCTTGAGCAGTATATTTATTATCCGAGCTTTAAACATACGAGTCAGTCTTGGCACGAGAAAAAAACAAACTTTTATTTGTGTGTTTTTCGTTGGGTAATTTAGTTTTTGGTCAGATACCAATTCTGGATTTTGTGACCGTCAAATCATCCAGATATCTGACGGCCAAAAAAAGAAGCGACTTATTGAGAAAGAAGAGAGAATACACTTTACTAGTGACACCTACATACTTGTTTACTAATAAATACGAAAGATATCCTAACTTTTATAGATGGAACACAACATGTTTATATTACATATATATTTGGAGTCATTTTAATAACTTCAAACACCGTAAATTTTATGACGGCAATTAAAAAATTAAATGCAACTTTGGCGTTAAGCCTTTAATTACTTTTTTATTTCCATGGATTTTTTAGTAATAAGTTATTATTAGTCTTCAAAGGGCGCCAAGTTTTGTGCCGTCTTTAGATGGTAAGCTGCACCAGAATTAAATAATTAAACTGTTAATGGGTAATTAAATATTTTTAATCAGATCAAATTTGACTTTGATGTGCAACGTTCCATGTATTTTTGTTTGCTTTTGCTAAAAGTTCTGAAAATGAGTTGATTAAAAGATTCTTCTTCTTTCTTCTTTTTTTCCCCAAACAAACAAATAAATAAATAAACAGACAGATAGACGGACAAACAAACAAAAAAACATAAACGTAAATCTGATTGGTGAAGGAATCATTTAAAAAAACCCTTGCTGTATTATCCTATTAGAGCTTTAAATTAAGAAAGTTTTGCGTGATCGACACGTTTGTTCGATAATCAATGTCAAATAAAGTTTGAAAACAAATGTTTATAGAACTGCGCAAATTATATAAAATTATTTTGTTTATTATATGTATGCAGTTATTATATTATATGTATATTTGGTGTAACATTATGTTACATAAAAAAAAAAGCAAATATTTTTTTTTCTCGGCTTTGAAATTTTGGGTTAAATTGGTTGTTGTATCGGGATTAAATCTATTTATTATTCAAATAAAAGTCGATGATGGCAGTTTCAACTCTGGTCCATACAAATTTATTCGTAAATTAATATATGGTTTTTTAAAAACCACCAATAACGTAAATTGTAAAATTACAATAATTAATTAATAATGATGATAACATTTACATTATTCGCTAGTAGAAGGAGGCTAGTGAATGTTTTTTGAGGCTCATGTATGTGTATTCATGGACGAATTGAATTGGTTGTTGAATGAATTGAATGTATGAATGTATGAATGAATTGAATATATGGTATAGAGGGATGGTTTGTATGAATGAGTCAATGAATCAATGGATAGATATAATAGAGTAGAATCGGATTTGAGTTTGAGATCGAGGGGTTGAAAAAGAAAAAAAAAGAGAGAGTCGAGAGTGAAGGAGGAGAGGAGAAAAAGGTTGGTTTGTTGGTGGTTGGGTGAATTAATTTAGCCTGATAATCATAATCAAAATGAGAATATTTTGCTAGCTTTTAACCGTTAATTATAATTTTAATTATTTTAATGTGAAACTAACTAAAATATTTTTTGAAACTATGAGTTTTTTTTCTTTTTAAATGTTTTTTTACTTTTGTGAAAATAAAAAGGAAATTTTTTTTGAATTATTTCTTTTTATTATTTTTATTGAAATTAATTTAATTAATTAATTAATTAATTAATTAAATTAATTAAATTAATAATAATATTCATAATATTCATAATATTCATTAATAATAATAATTATAATTATAATTATAATTATAATTATAATAATAAATTATTATAACAACAACAACAACAACAACAACAACAATAATAATAATAATAGTAATAGTAATAATAATGAATAAACAAAATTGACACCATTAATAACAAACATGATTAGTTCGTGTAAATTGTGACTTTGGCAGATTGAAATAAGCTTTTTTAAATTTAGAATTTGTTACAAAATGTGTTGTTTATTGAAATGAATGGATGAATGAATGAATGAGGGAGTGAATGAGGGAGTGAATGAGTGAATGAATAAAAGAATGAATGAATGAATGAATGAATGAATGAATGAATTAGTGAGTGAGTGAGTGAGTGAGTGAAACGAATTTATGTATATAGATGTATAAATAAACAGAAATGTATTTGGCGGAAATTAACTAACCGATACGAAGAACTTTAAATTTCTTATTTTATTTTTTTACAAAAAAAAATCAATTACAAATTTGTTGTTGAATAGAATAGGATAAATATTTATTGACGATGATACACTGTGGTGTGATATGCATAACATACATATTGATATTATTATATTTAACAGTTTATAAAGGAACCTTAATGTGCCCAACAAGGTAATAAATAAGGTCATACGATCGATCAAAATTCTTCAAAGAGGGAAAATTAAAAAATTCTCCTCTCCTATCAATTAATTACATAAAATGACAAATAATTCATTTTAAATTTATTTATTTATTTATTTATTTATTTAATGAATTATTATTATTTTTTTTTTTTAAAGGGTTTTTTTATCCCGTCTCTTTCTTCCAATTAATTGTTCTTTAACAAATAACATATAAATAGAATAATCAAATTGATTTTATTGGTAATTCGAAACATTTGATTTTAAGCACAGTAAAGTAAAGTTAAATCTAAGTTTATTTATTTATTATAACTACGAATTAAACTGAGACAAACTGTCGTTTTGTAATGTTGTACAATAACGGATTTTTAAAAATAAAATTGGCATTTTTTCTTGGAATTTTCTCGATCATTCAAATTGTTTATTATGTAATAATATTATTATTACTATAGACAGGTAGGTGCTAATGACAAGATTGATGGGTTGTGATGAATTGTTATATTAATTAATAAAAGAAAGAATTCAAATAATAATAAAGGTGATGAAATTTTTAAAAAAATAAAATAAATGGTAGTACCTATAATTTCCATATATTATATTAATGTTCATGAATGAATGGATGTTTACGAATAAGACGATTTTTTTTTTTATCTGGATAATTATATTACCTTTTTTCATATAATATAAAAATTAATAGGCAATATATAAGCATCTATACACCACTAATGAATATTTGACAATTTTCCTTGGCAAAAAAAAAAAAAATCTTTATTTATTAACAAAAGGTTTTTTTTTTTTTATTTTTACTACTAAAACGAGTTTGAATTTTTTTTTTTTAATAAAAAATTAGAATGGAATGAATAGGTTCAATGTATATATATATATATAATCTTTATAATTTTTTTATGTATGAATCAATAAAAAAGATATTATCTTTTAATCAAAAAATATATTATATATATTAATAAATAAAATTATGATTCAAAATCTATATAAACGTTCGATATTTTTCTTTATCTCTGTTTTGATTTTTACTTAATAAAAAAAATCAAACGTTAATAAAAAAAATTTTTTTTTTCTAATAAATTATATCTAATTTTTTTTCTCTTATATATATATATATATATTTTTTATTTTTTTTATTTTTTAATTACTAATTATTTATATACTTGAAAATTTTTTTTTTTACTATTTAACTTTAAAGCCTGCTTTTGAATATTACATCATCATCATCTATATATTTCTTTCTTTTTAACAAACTTTTTATTATATAATAATTTTTTTTTATCCAATAACAATTGAAATTCATTTACAAAATTTTTTAATTTGAATGAACACGTGTGGAATTTACTTTTTTTAACGCCACAAACAACACGTAAATTTTCTCAACAAACAAATATAAATAGATGGAATCACTTAATTTCAAAAAAATTTCTTTTCCTACTACTGCTTCAAAAAATATCGTTTATAAAAAAATTCAAAATAATAATAATAATAATAATAATAATAATAATAATAATAATAATAATAACAACAACAAAAACAACAACAACAATAACAACAACAAGTCTTCTATAATAATTTCTCCTCCTCTTTCACCAAAAAAATCTTGTCCAAAAAAATTGGATTACCACGATTACACTGCTGGTAATATTAACAATAACAATAACATTAATAGTAATATGAATGTAAGCAACATTATTACCAAAGAAATTGAAATCGTACAAAACACACCCTCGTCGTCCACATTCAACAACGTACAAGATGTCTATAATCGTTTGACTTTTTACGGTAAACCAAGATACAGAATGAGATGGTGCGAAACTCCTAATGAACTCAGAGAGTTCATCGAAAACAATAAAAAAATCTCTACTACCGATTCTTCTTCTTGTGCTTCTTCCCCCACCCTCTCTGTTGCAGGTTCACCAGCTGGTTCAACAATTAGTACCACCAGTCCTACTAACACTATATATGTGTATAACGTTGCTGCTAGGTCATCTCCGTCTACATATAGTAATAAACACGTGCACGCTTCTTCTTCATCACCTTCTTCTGTATCATCAGCCTTTTCAGCATTTACCACTACTCCTACCACTAACAATTACACCGCTAGCACCTCCGCTACTTCTGCTTCTGCTTCTTTTGACGTTATGCGAATAGCTACTATCAACAACAACAACAACAACAGAAACAACAACTACAATAACAATAACAACAAGAAGAAAGAATCTTCTCGCAGTCATCATAGACATCAACCTTATTCCACAAAGTCCTCCTCTAAATCAAATCGTAAAACTTCCTCGTTTAGACGATCTAATGTAAAAGGTAATGATCATCCTCATACTGCTTACTATTATGGCTACAAACATAATGGTTTTTCACCCATTAATCATGATTATCATAATTATATTCTTAATAAAGGAAAAGGACGTGGGATTTATGGTGATAATAATACTAGTCCTGAAATGTCTTCACTAGATACTACACCAACATTGGGTCAATCTTCAGACACATCTTCATCCGATAGCACTCCGCCTGCTAGCCCAAAACATAATAACAGGTCATCGTCATCATTCATTATCGCAAAGAAACAATCGAGAAAAAAATTTAATAATGTTAGACGTTCAAGTGATACCAATACCATTACAACCAATCGTCAGTATGGTGTCACTAAAAACCATGGTGATGGCTCATCACCGATCATATCTGAACGTAAAAGAAAAAGTAACAGCCTTGCGAGAGTGATGGCTGATCGCGGTTTATCGGAAGAGTCAATCATTCCTGCCATTTCATCTACTTCTACTAACTCGGGCGAAGTTAAATCGATTAGAATTCCTCCTTCACCACCATTGGAATATGAGAAATTAATTGAAAATCTTAATAACATGAATTTGGAAAATAGAATTTTGAATACCGCTGAACCTAACATCATTTGGAAAGGTCAACCATTGTCAATCACTCACTTACCTCATCATGATGCATTACACCCCAAAGAAGCTTTTGTAGCATCGGCACTCAGGTTGACTCCTGTGCAGTACTTGACCGCAAAACACACTCTAGTTTCTGCAGCTCAACGTTACACCCAAAGAAACTTCCCTTTCAAGAAAAGTGATGCACAAAAACTTCTTAGAATAGATGTAAACAAAGCAAGTAAATTGTGGGAGTTTTTTAGGCAAGTTGAATGGATCTAATAGGTCATTTCACCTGATATTCTGAAAACTTGAAATAATGGTAGTTTCATTATCTTATTCTTACATTTATATCAACCATCTTATACAATCATCATAATCATCATTCATATCATTGTTATTATTATTTGTAAATAGGAGAAAAAATATTTAATCATTTCACACATAATATTATCATCATTTCATATATAGACAATCATCATGAGTGTGGTGGATTTTTTTATTTGTAAATATTAAAAAATAAAATAATAGTTAGTTGGTTAATATTAAATATTAATTAATATTAGTTGCGGTGGTAATATGTGAGGTTTTTTTTCAAGTAACTTTTTTGGTGCAAAGATTTAGTCATAGTTTGAATTTATATTATTTATATTTATATATAATATATATATCAATACCAGAGGGAGTTTAATATTGGTTGTGTGGGGGGTTTGGGTTAAGTGGTTTTATTTTGTAATTAAAACATTATTAATATTGATCATTTATTTATATTTATAATCAAGCATTTTTAAATTTAAAAATTTATTCTTATATTTCTGTACAGTTTTTTTAGATTAGAAACTAAAATCAATAAAGTTGATTTTAATACAAATATTATATGTTTACCTGTCTTGTTATTGTCCGACTATAGATTATAGAGGATGGTATTATTAGTATTTATAATTCTCAAGTAACTTTTGAGTCGCGCGACATTAAATAAAATGGAATATGTGATTATTTCTATTTATTTATTGTATTATAACTTTTTTTAAATAATAATATTTATTCTATCTATTCCCCCCCGTAATAATAAAATATTAATTAATAAAAGTTCGTATATATCTGAAGTGTTTTTAATTATTTTGAAAAATATTTGTCAATCGCATTATCCAAGTCTTTTTTCAAATCTTTTAAAAATCCCTCAACTCTTTCATCCAGCATAATTACTTCACTTCCTCCCGACAATAAAACCTCCAAATATTTAGATACTTTATCAATTGTATCCCAATTAATATTGTCATCTTGTGTATCTTTTACAGCAGTGCACTAGAAATTAATGAAATACATACATTTAAATTTATATATATATATCGAATATATATATATCGAATATATATTATATGTGAATTTTATTTATTTTCCTTTACCTTTTGGATCCAATGAACTGCAGCTTCAACCGCATCATATGTAGAGTTGTTATTTAATAAGATATTGATATAATCATCTTGATAATTTTCCTACATATTCACATTTATATTGTTTCAAAAAAACATTAAAAATAGATTAATTAATAATATTAGATGATCATTAGCATTAGGGTTGTTATTATCTTTTGATTACCTTGTAGAATGACTTTAGAAACAACGGTATTTTAATATTGAGAGGTATTGAAAGTAAAGTTTTCAAAACGACAGCCCTATATCGACATTGCGTCTCTTCCATTTTATCATATCTTTCTAAATACTTTTCTAATATTATCCATGCTTTGACTCTATCTGATCCCTGTATAGTCCTTGAAAATTCACTTTCTTTCACCCAATTGTATGCATTATCACTATAATAATCAAGGTAGCAAAGAATAAATTAAAATATATATACAATATATATACACATATATAAATTTATTACAACATATGATAACAATAAATACCTATAATGACTGGTTGTATGTAGATCAGCTGCACATTTATTCGTCATATTTGCAAATATATCATCAAAAGCAAGATTGTGTGCATTTGCTACAGAAATAGCTAAATCAAATTTATTTACATAACTACACATCCTGACAATTTCATTAACATTACCAATCCTAACTGAAATCAACATTTTTTGAGTAACATAATAAAAAATAAAATTATCCACACTAATTAATACTAATATTTTTAGTGTATTTGTCAATGTATTTAATTATAATTATAAATTTTTTTTCAGATACCTTCTTCTAAAGGTTGATGATGCCCCAATTCTAATCTTGCCATTGATAGTGTATAGTCTTGCCGTATCTTTTGTATATTAATCATTTCCAATTTGTCACAATTCCCTAAATAAATAATATACATATGTTTAAACAAGCTCCTTTTATAAGTAAAAAAAAATTACACACACACACATATATATATATCAAAGAATCCAAATTATTTTAAAATTTACCAGATGTACCATCATCTTTTTTCCTCTTTTTTAACGCCTAAAATTATTGTTATTTTAAAGTTCAAAAATTTTTAATATTAAAATTTAAAAAAAATCAAGGTCATTTTATAAAATTACCCGTCCTTCATCATCATCATTGAAAATATTTACGTAATAGAACCATGCATCATCGGGTTCAAGCAATTTTAATGTGTTCATCGATGTCAAATAACTAGTCGCTACTTCAGTCATTGCCTTTTGAAAGTTATCAAAATTCAAACATGCTGCTTCGACTTTTTTGCCATATTGATACATGACACGAGCAGCTTTATTTAAAATGAATACATGTATATATTTAGTTATAATAATAAATAAGAAAAATTAATTAATCCAGTAAATATATTAAATAACAAACCGTCTTTATATTTTACGAGACATCTAACGTAATAGGAATATAATATCCTAGAATAGTTTGTTGGTTTTGTAACTACATGGCGATGAGCTTGAAGTTCCATTATACTTTCAAAATCTTTTCGATAATTTATAAATGATAATTCGGAAAGATATTTTGTTTCGTTTTTTTCACATAATCCAATAACAAGTGCTTTTAATTGTTTAAGTGCTCTGCAAATAACAAATTAATAACTAAATTAATGTTCATATTAATATTTAAATTTAAAGAGAAATCTCTTAATTAAAGAAATAATTACTCTTTTATATTAGGATTAGATGTAAGTGCAGAATACGCATCATCAAATAATCCTTTCTTTAAAGCATCATTGAATATTTTAGTATACAATGATGAATATGTTTGTTGACCTTCTGGAGTTTGTTGCTAAAATCCCCCCAAAACAATAATTATTTAATCAACATAAATAATCAAAGTAAAAAATCATGGTTTTTTAAAAAATTTATATTTATAAACAAAACCTTAACATAATCAAATGCATTTAATGCTTTTTTACAAAATTCAACACCATAATCCAATTGATTCACATTTTCAAAAATTGTTGCTACATGTTGAAAATATGCAGTCAAATCACCTTGAAAATTGTCTTGAGACCTAATGATAGGTCTTCCAGTATAATCAGGTAAATTGATATCGCTTACTTAATTAATAAATAAATAAATAAATAAATAAATAAATAATTTCAATTGATAAAATGAATTACTTGCTCATTCACGTTGCAACTCATGTTATCAATAATGCATAATCATCAGGAATAGATCAAACAATACTTACCGAATCCAGAGCCAGCTTTAATGAAATGTTGTTTTGCCAAATCATAATTTTGCTTCTTTATATAGTATTTGCCCCAAACAAATGTAACTTGTGGAGTAACTAATAAAAATTCAAGAAATTGATAAAGATGATCTAAGAATCCGTAATTTTCTAACAAGTCAGCGAATCTAGCGTATGGTTCAATTGTCATAACTATTATGTTTGGAGCTTGACGTATAAAATTCATTTGTTTTAAAAATTTATATACTCCTTTTAACATAATATCAGTCAACGAGCCCACTTGAAAATTTAATGATAGTGGATAGTTATGACGAATCAATGTATGAAGAAAACTATACTGAAGATCAGGTGAATTTGTTTTTTTTAATAAGCCAATCACAGTTAAACTTGAAAATTTTTCGCACATTACATCATCTTCTGAAGTTTCAATTTCTAAACCATTAGCTATATTACCACCAATTTTACCATCATCTTTATATGCAGATTGCTCTGAAATCCATTTTAAAATTATAAATGTGTATAGAGTAGACATGCTAATAGACAATCTTTTTAGATGCTCTTCACTTTGAGAACAAGTTAAAAATACCATTAATAAAAACATCGATTTTGATATGGTGTAACGTGTTTGTAATATATCAGTAATTGTTGATGCAATGACAGCATCAACGAAAACAGTCGTTTTCATTTCTACAATATTTGTTAAAGAAGCATCATATTCCAAACTGTGTAGCAAATCAAAAATTGGTTTGATTAAAGTTTCAAAATTTTGAATTGATCGTAACATGTTTGATATTGAATTCAACGTTTGATCATCCAAATAACTTTTCATATGCGGAATATAAATTTTATCGTGAGCAATACGTAGTATTGTACGAACTTCACTGTGGTCATTCTCTTTATTTAATAGTACATCAACTAAATCTTTATCAATGCTCAATAATGCTCTATCAGGTAAACTCATTGCAATAACATTTCCAATTGTCAAAACTCTTGTGATATTAGATGATTGATGATCTAACAAACAATATTGTGGTATGCGATAATATGGATTTGAAGTCAAAGTAAAAGTCTCGAAATCATCCGTTAAACTATGTTGAAACACTTCTAACGGCTCACATGATCTAATGACAGATAAGCCATCCTGTAACTTAATAATTATCAAATCTCCAGCATAAATACTTAAAGGTCTACGACAAGTTATTCCCTCATCATGACAAATTTCTATAAAACTCTCCCATGCTAATCTAATTGATTGACCTAAATCAGATTTCATTGATGTTGTCTCATTTTTATTCTTCAAAATATGCCTTGCGATTGCACATCTGACAATTTGTTTTAAATTGGTGGTATATTCTAATGAATCCAAGACTTTCACAAGATACTGCTTAGTACTTGAATCATCCTGTTCCTCCAAATTATCAATAACATAATCAATATATTTTTTTAAAGAAATCTTAATAATTGAATGTGAAAATCTTGTAGGACAAAAAATATAATCCAAATAAAATTTAATGAGATCTTTTTTCAACACGCCTTGTAGTGTATACAAATATTCTTTATCAAAAATTTCTTTTGCTACTTTAGCAACTATTGTCCATTCATTACTAAAAAGGAACTCGGATGATCTGTTATTATGTCTAGATGGATAATATAAAACTTGAAAATCTACAAATGAAACAACTGATTGTTTATCATGCTCCCATAAAGCCCATAGTCTACAATCATATTCCAATTTTTCATCTTCTATTAGGGCTACTTGTTGATTTTCCTGATATTCATTTGGTGGTGGCGGCGGCGGCGGTTTATATATTTGTTGAAATTTCAAAGACATATCAATTAACTTTGTGCTCGAGCTTTGATTGGAGTCAAATTTGTGATAATGGTTAAATGATGTCACTCCTGCCACTTTTGCATCTTTCAACACACCCGATGTGTCAACATTAACAAGATAAGTTATGAAATAACAATTAAATGTTGTAGGAACAGAAACCATGAAAAAGAATGAAGATGGATGTTTATTGAAGTTTAAAATCCTCACATAACCTCGCGAATTCGGAGGCAGCAATGGATTGTCATCAAACTCTGCAGTAATTTGATGAATCGCTATATTATCGTCTCTACCTAATAATTCCAAAATATCGTTTTGTGGCCTGATTTCTGCAAGTGGGTCATGTGATATATATGAATGAGTGTTCAAGGAACATATCACTACTTTTCTATTACGACAAATATATATTATATATCCTTTTGTTCCACAGACATATGAATCCATTGAAACTGGTTGAAGTGGGGAGATTGGCTGGTCATTGTTGCCACCAAATATCATCGGCCTTGCTCCCAATAAGTTATTCATGAATTTATAATAACTATTATCTTTAAATTCTAATTCATCAAAACAATCTTGATACATTTATTTAAATTTGAATAATTAGTAATTATGATTAATTATTAAAACAAAACAATATTCCGAAAATATTTTTTGTAAACTTTCTCTAAATACCATCCATTTTATTAAAGCCTGGTTTCTTTTTAATAGTTTCGGTTTGTTTTAAATGAATAACACTTCCATTTGTACATCCGATAATAATATTTTCATTATCAATCACATGTACCAAAGCAGGGATTTTTTCTTTAAGTGATCTCACCTTTGCTCTAACATCATAGTATTCCATCAAATTTCTTTTCGTAAAAAGTGTATCTAATGGTAACTCCAATTGATACAACATTTTAGACGATAGCAGCAGTACACAATGTAAGCTACGTGTTATAGGATCAGTAATGAAGCCTACATTTGGTACAATTATTGAAGAAAACTTGATTCTGATTACAGGGGTTGTGTCTCCAGGTTGACTAATGTGATTTAAATTACCAGCAATGTTTTTTGAAGGTATAAGAAATTGTCTTAATTCTAATACTCTTGCCGAATCTACAACCCTCCAGGCTATATAGCTTGTCGGATTTGCTTCGGTGTGATGTATCGAGCCTTGGTTTGCTACGCTGTTATTTTCTTCAATGAAAATTTCTTCGTAATCTTTATCGGGTTTTTCATTAGGCCTCGGTTCCAAAACATACTCAATAGATTCAACTTTTGATCCTTTTGATGTAAAGCCATTAAGAGGAACGAATGATTCTTTATAAAAAGATGAGGATGTATTCCTGAACATTTTTATCAAACCTTAATTATATATACGCTTTTTTTTGAAAAAAAACCCCCGCGGTATGACTAATAATGGAAAGTGAAGAGTTGGAATTGCCTTAATGTTATTATTCAGAAAAACAACTTCCTAAATTTTTGTTACACGAAAATCGATTTCAAAAAAAAAATTTTTTCGACAATTTAATTGTCTTAAAATGTAGCACTATTACTATTACTATTACTATTAAAAAAAAAGAATAAGGAATTTAATGGAGAGCATCGATTTCCCAAACAATCACTTCCTTATTTGCAGCCAACTTCATGTTCATTAGTAAATAAGTTATTGCCAAAAAAATATGAGCAAATAAAGGAACTGAAATGTAATTTAAGCAACCTGCAAATTCATTATTTTAGCAATGCAAAATTTCTCGCCTTTAAAATATCCACCTTTTCTATGGTGCAGGTAACCTAAATATGCCACTAAAATTGACGATATTTGAGGTCTATATACTGAATTTTGTAAAAAAAAAAACTGATACGATGAAGTTTAAGTAAGACCTGCTTGGGCTTTATTATTATCATAGGAATTTTATGGGTTAAATTCAGAACTTTTTTATTGGCTAATTCATTTTTATCGTTCTTATTGGTCTAATATCACGTGACAATATATTTGAAAGTACGCGACCTTCATAAAACATTGAATTAAATCGTTACAATAATTCATCAATATATATTTTATAACCAAGAAAATTCAAAATATCTTTATAATGGTCATATTCCTTAAATAAAACAAATCACAAAAACAAGAAAGAGTTTGTTCAGTAGTAAAAGACATAGAGTTGGTAAAAAAATTCATATGACATTTAACAGGATATGCAGCTAGAAATATAGTTCTCACTCATAGTGTGATGTTCTGTGACTGTTTATCATCAAAAATGTGCTACATCAATAGCAAATTATTATGTGCGGATTTTTAGTATCTTTATCATATATATATTCCAATACATGTAAATGTTGACAACAAAATTCGACCAAGAATTTTTTTTTTTGAAAAAAAAAAGAAATTTCTATTAATTTATCAGTTATGATGGAAATTTTTATGTAAAATTCAATAATAAATCGAAAAAAAAAGTTATCATGGTTTAAAGTTATTCATAACAAAATTGAAACCTTTTATAGTTTTATTGTTTGTCCCCTATATATATAATAAAGTTACGGTTATAAAAGTTTATCTATTTTTCAATATTTTTACTATATATATATAAATTTTTTTTATTTGATAGGAAAAAAAACTGTAATCTAAAAGCTTGATTATAGTTTCATGTTTGTATCTATTTGAAGGCTCTGATACGATTTTTATTTTAGAAAAAAGTTTATTATTGATCGGCATTACGTTGCATCACCTAATTTAGGGCATCCCACACCCAGTCTCAACCCATGCGGACAATTTCCGAAAGGTTACACCTTTATCCCTCAGTTCGTAGGGATAGAGCCTCAGCCTGGGAAAACATATAAGAGGGATATCCCCCTTGTCAATCTTATCGATCTTTGGGTATCGGTCGGATAATTCACTCAAGATCTACGGACCAGGTGATCAGAGATATATCCGTACATTTTATATTTATCCCTCGCCAGGCTAAAGCTGTATCCCTCTGAACATAGGGATAAAGGTCAGACCTACCCAGAAATCGTCCGCATATGGTGCACAGTCTCATAGGCATATTTTACTTTCAAACTATTATTTTTGGGATTTCCAATTACTGGATTGCAATTAAACCAATTATAATAAATAATTTACACCAATGTTTTCTATACTGAACGATTCAAAGATAGTAAAGTAAGCCTTCACATAGTTGTGTGTGTTATAAGGCAGATCCCCATTAAAACCACACCACCTTTCTTTGCAAGAATTGAAGCCCAACTTTTTTTATAGGCTTTAATCTCTATGCCATTAAGGATTCTTGGATAATGAAACATTGTGTTTTCTTAATTCCAGGTTTTGATTTTCCTAGTGAATCAACCAAATTAATCTCACCAAGAGTTTTTTAATAGTATAAATAAATAGTGATTCTATTGTTTATACAAATCCCATTTGTGCAAGAAACCAATAAAAATGGATATATATATATTTACTATAGCCTCTGAAGATTGTCCATCCCATCCAGCATCAATAGTTATAACACCTTTTTATAGGTGATAAGAGAAATTGCTTTGTAAAAGAAAAATGATTTGCAGAAATGTCCTCAGGAAACGACACCAATGCTGCAAATTTTTTGGAAAATTCGTTTCATTGTTTTAATCCTTCCCAGTGATTTCCATAAAAGCATAAAATTTTCACCAGAAATTTGTTAAATCACTAAAAAGACAACATAAAATATTTTTCTTCTTTAGACATTGGTTTCTTTGAAATACTGAAATCTAAATATTTTAACAATAATGTAATATAGAATTGAAGCATTCACGTCTTCTAATGTACAACGTTACATCCCTTTATAATAAATTATTTCTAATTTTATCATATTAATTATATTTACTCAATGAATACTTATCTGGATCAAAAAAAAAAAAAACTTGGCTCTCAAAATTCTTCAGAAGAATTATCTGAGCTATATAAAGATGGCTATTGGGAAATTGATTCTGCAGTAAAAATCAAGAAAACATCACCAAAAATATATATAAAAAATTTAAAAACGCAAAAATGTTTTGGAATTTTAAATAATAAATTTAAAATGAATCTTGTACCAAATACATCAACACCATCACCATCCTCCTCCTCTCCTCCTCCCGTCACTACTTACTCTCATCGATTAAGTTATAATACTAGAAAAGATGCTTATTATGAGAATGGAATTCTGGATAATATATATATATATAATTGGGACCGCGGTGTTTTGGAGCATAATAATATGATTCGCTATGTAGAGTATGATTGGGGAATGTAAGCTTGTCCTTCCATTCATCCAACCATTTTATGTTTATAAATTATAATTTTTTCAAAATTTATTTACGCATTTTGTTTTTATTTTTTAAATTAAAGGGTTTATTTGACAAAGGAACTTGAAAGCTTCAATAGGAGGCCAGCACATGTTCTATGGAAATTCGATTATAGACCTAGTAAGCTGGTAATTGATTCTTTATCGATAAAACTACAATTTGCAACGTTTGATGAGAAAGCATCAGTGAAATGGATGATTCAATTGCTACCCACTCGATCCAACCCAGATCCTGATTGGCTAGCTCTAGTTAGTGACACTAATGCGTTTTTGGCACAAGAACATTATAAAATTTTGACGAATAATAATCATAAAGATTTTACTGTCAAGATCGATTTGTTGGATTGTGTTAGAGGTCAACATGGATTTAAGTTAAAAGCTTTGTTATCAAGTAGCGGCAAAAATGTTCATTGTTGGCAACAAACTCAAATATTTAGACAAAATAAGGATAGTCCTTATAAAAATAATAAAAATAGTATCTATGGGTTAGTGGATGATGATGAATGTTTTGGATTGGATGTTAGAGTAGAATTGAAACCACAATTTGTTTGTGAGTTACCATTAAATAATATAACATATTCTTCGCCAGCTTCAACAATAAACCAATATATACTTGATGATGTATCAACTAGTGATTTTACTATCGTTATTGATAACGATTATGATGTTACTATTTCAACATCTGCGTCAAACGAATCATCAAAAAATAAATCATTTCATGTTCATTCAAAAGTTTTGACTGATAATTCTGAATACTTTAAAGCATTGATTAATTCATCAATGATCGAATCACAGAGTCGTACACTTTTATTAAAAGATACTTCTTATCAAACAATGAAACCTATTCTTGAATTTTTATATACAGGCGAACTATCTTTAATTAATAATAATGGTGATGATATTAATGAAGAAGATAATGGTAAAGATGGTGATAGTGGTAAATATGAAGAAGAACAATGGATTGATTTATTATATGCGGCAACAAGATTTTTAATTAAACCATTGATTCAACGATGTGAAAAGGAACTTGGCAATTTTGTTACCATGGAAAACGTTGACGAATTTGAACTTCTTGCTAACGAATGTGGTTCAGATCAATTATTAACTTATTGTAAATTACTTTTTCTTAAATCACCAGACGATGTTTATCTTAATGATAAGCTTTCTTTTGAAACTAGTTATTATTTTTCTAATAATCATTGTTATGATAGTTATGACGATGACAATAAGTGTGACGATGATTATTATTCTGATGAGCACTTTATATATTGAAGTTTTATATAGCGAATTGTACATTAGAAAATTTCCCATTTCACGTTATATATGACAAAAATTTCAGTGACAAGTACCTTTTATTTATTTTTTGATTCATATCAGTGGCATTTCATTGTTTCGTATATGTAAAAAGCGATTCTATAGGTGGATAAAAAATCAGTATCCACTTATAAAAGCGTTTTACTCGATAAAATAGGTTTTCAATGATAGAATCAACGGGTATAAAAGAACTTCAAAACAACTTTTTGATTTTTCCCTTCAATAAATATTGATAAGATCAAGTCGTCAAATCACAAGTAGTTCCTTATTCAATCTGAATTTCAAACATTGATTATTAGACTTCCAAACTCCATTCATCAAACAGTCACAGATGGACCAAACAAACGATAGTGGAAATTTGACATCTAATCCCCCAATCAGACTACTTTAACAAGAGGTAACTGACCCCATGAAGAACATTCCAAGAACCTAGAGCATAGTACTACTAATCTTACTGTCGGTCAAAACAATAAGAATTGTAATTTATTTATAGAAAGCAAAGAATTCCACAGAGCAAAAGAAAAATTCGAATAGAGAATTTCAAGCACAAAAGATGGGATTCTCCAATAGTTGGTTGGAAGTAAAGTAATAGTAATACCCTTAATAAAAGAAGTCAGTAAAAGAAATCTGCTATGCAGAATCATGACTATTACTATGAACCAGAAATTGCAAACGGTTGACGATTGCAGGGTGTTTGATAGAAAAGAAACTGTGGAAAAAGCAAAGTAGTGGCTGTGTGAATGGCCTTTTCCAAAGAGTCGTTACAGAAAGCTTTGGATGCTTTAAAGATTTGGTAGAAGGGAGGCTTCTTGGTGGATAAGGAGAAATTAATTTCAGTACTTTTTATTTCCTGAAAAAAAGAATCCACAATTATAATGCTAATTACTCAAATTTGGAAAAAGCAGCTCCGTGCTAATAATAAAACTTTGTAGGCTTGATTCTATATTCTAGTTGCAGCAAGAAAAGATGAAGATAAGCAAACAGCATTTCAAACGTAAGATCACAATAACTCCTAGAATATAATAAATTAATAATAATAGTAATAGTAATGGCGGCAATCAAAGAGATATTGATGATTTTTTAATATTTAATATATATTAATATTTTTTAAAAAGGGTATGCCCCCATTATTATTATCAATGTATGAAAATATTCCGTATGCTAATAATAATTAATTAATTAATTTTATTTATTCCTCCATCGTCATTGTTGTATCTTCTTCTTCTCTAGCCATATAATCGACCATCAGCCACCTTGCTTCTTTTGCAACACCTGTAACTAATGCTCTTACAATAATTTTATTAATCAACTCTTGATCTGATTCACCTTTACCTTTATCACCACCAATAATATTGGCTTGATTATTACTAAAAGTTAATTCAAATAATATTCTAATTATTTGTTTATACATTTTTATGTAGTCATCATCTAATACATATAATAAATCTAAATTGTCAGTTGAAGAAGGATAATAGTTATGTTGTATAGTTATTGGTGATGACAATGATGATGACGCTAATATGATATTGTGATTGTGATGAGGATGAGAATCTTTTGAACTTAAAATTATTTCTATTTTTTCAAGATATCCGAGTATTAAAGAAATTTGAAATGATGAAAGAATAGTTTTTGTAGTAGAAATAAGTGAAAGATAGTGAAGATTAAATAAAATTGCATTCAAAATATTTAATGACCATAAAAGTGTTTCTTTCTTTATAGCATTTAAATCTATGTGTGTTTGAAAAAAAAATTTTTGTTAAACTGTTTCTTTTATATAATTTATTAAAAAATATTTCAACGCAAACCTAATGATTTTAGTAATCCTGTTAAGATAAAAATAACTTGATTGACCAATACTCCATTTGATTTTTGTAAAATTGAATTCTTACAGCCTTGTAAAACTCTTAATAATATTCTTAAACCAAATATTGATGATGAATTTTTTCCCATAGTTAAAGAAGAAACACATAAATTGTGAATCCATGTTATTAAACACTTATTTTTAACCATATCTGTGATAACTTGTGATATTGGTGATGCTTGAAACAAAATCTAAAGAAATATTTACAATATGTTTATATTTGAAAATAATATTAAAAGCAAAAAAATTTTTTTAACTATTACCTCTATAATAATTTTCTTTGTAATATTATCAGTTAATGATGAATTATAATATCCTGATATAATATCCCATGCATGTCTTCTTTTGAAAATCTTGTAATCTTCATTGGTTTTTAAACCTGCAGATAAGAGTCTTAATAACCAAACTCTTTCTTTTTGATAATTGTCTGAACTAGAATAAAATAAATTATAAAACATTGGAATATCCTAAAAAAACATATCATATATTATTAAAAATAGTTATATTTATAGTAAATAAATAAATATACAATATACAAACACACATATATATATATACACAAATACCTCCAAGTCTAAAAATGGTCTTTGTAATAAAAATTTATTAATTATTGGATACATGAAATGACCTGGGTTTGTAAATATATTTAATGCATGCGCAACAAATATAGTAATGATACTTGGTATTTGCTGAAACATCCTCTTCCTTTTTCCTTTATCATCATCATCATCATCATCATCATCATCATCATCATCATCATCATCATCATCATCATCATCATCATCATCATC